ATAATCTACTTCAATTCTCTCTCTCTCTCTCTCTCTAACACTTCAACTAGATATTCATCTTCTGTGCAAGACTACATCAAGAAAAACGTCAAAGAGTAAAAAAATCAAAAATTATATTGCATAGTCTCTAAAGATATGATGGTACAAAACCCAGGTTGTTACTTACTTTTCTTCAAGCATTGGTCCCTAATATATTATTCTTTTGCTTTTGATACAAGAGATGCCACAAAAAATAAGGTACAAAATTCTCTACACTGCCCTATAAAATGATTTTGACAAACTACTCACACTTAATTGAACGATATATGTGCCGTACAAAAAGCAAAGCTGCACGGAAACCTACAGTTCCAAGCATGAGGAAGAAACCGTAGCAGATACAAGCCATGTAGCCAAAGAAAAATGAAGTTTGCATGAAACCTGACATATCTGAACGTGCGTAATAGTAGTACAGGCAGTAGGCATAGATAAATATGCCGGTTGATCCACCACAAAGGAAAGATCTGTGGCAAAATCAAGCATCAAGATGAGTCCACAATGCTGCGCATATCATTTTGAAAAGCTGAAGTGCAAACGAACTCAAGCAAGAATCTTAATGAGTAAAAGCTAATCTTTCTATTTGACAGCCAAGTAGGAGTACTATTGAGTATTTGTATCATCTGCTACCCAGATACTAAATTGCTCAAGTTGAAACCAATAGAAATTAAAAATTCACTAAGAACGTCAGAATCTGTGGTGCAAATAATGATACTTGAAAATAGAAAAGGGCCTCAAATTGATTTCCTCTGTAGACTTTCTAACTATGATTAGTCAAGGTACTTAATTTCAACAGCAACAGAGCCATCAATTAATCACACCCATCTCAAATCTAATAAATTTCTAAAACAATACAATATTTTAGTTATTAAAGTCAATAAACAAAATTTCAAAAAAAAAAAAAAGAGAAAAAGTAACACATGCATCATAGTCAAAATTCCAGACTGTTTACCTCTTCTTTTTTTTTTTTGGTTGGGGGGAAGAGAGAGAAGAATGACAACAGTAAATACATACCTCCACCACCACTCATGATCTTCAGCAGCAAGTTGAAAGTAGGTCAACGCTACCGTGATAAAAGCTGTCACTATCAGGAGAATGATAAACACTATAAACAAGATGCTGTATATAGTGTAAATCCTGTGTCCCCATACACTGGCAAAAATATAATAAAGTTCAATATATATGGCACTAAATGGCAAAAATCCAGCCATTGCCATCTGAGGAATTGTCCCACGGTACCATTGCAAAGGTGGAATTTCTCTAGGATATTTAGTGGTGCGGCAAGGAGCTTGGAACTCAGCCTTGCTATTCTTCCCTGCAATCCCACCCAACACCAGCAAAGGGGATGTTACAAGTGTCCATATGAGAACTATAACCACAATCGTCCCAAATGGAAGAGCAGCAGTTGCATGATAAGTAATTGCAACAGTATTTAGAAAACAAAATGTTATAAACAGAGGCCCACAGAAGAGACATCCTGTCAACAGTAGGTTCCTAACCTGTCAAACCAGAAGACAAATGGCACATTGATTAAGCAGAACAATGCCAATTCTATATTTGAACAAAACCCAAAAATTTTTCACGTACCCAATTTGTTCCTTCTAATTGACAATAAAAGAAGGTCGCAGTGTAGCCAGCAATCCCAGAAGTGAGGGCATATATGACAACCAATGCAGTAAATAATGCTCCCCGGTTATATGGATAGAAGACACCAACTAGTGCTAGTAGAAAAATAAATACGGTACTGCAAACATGATTACATTGAGGACATCAGACAGCAGATGATGAAATATAATAATCCTGTTAATAACAGGATCTCGCTCTAGGATACAACTGATGATAAGTTAGGATAAACAGATAGGGATTAGCAACTTACAGAGTAAATAATTGAGTACCGCAACCAATAGCAGCTGCAAACAAAGACTTGAACTTAGGATATCTAAAAACATCTCCATGAATGTATTTCCACCCAGTTTCTTCTTGGTCTTCAATTGATTCCTCATCATGAGCATACCTTTCAAAGAAAGAAAGCAAAAAGAAAATGACAGGATCAGGGGGAATCAATCAAGAAGGAATAGAAGAATTGGGCAAACGACCTAGTAAACTGGAAACAAACAAATTATCAAAATGCATGGATAATAGAAATCATTCTTACTTGACAAAATCATTCTTAAGAACCCGCATGAGGATTGTAGCCAGAAAACCAGTTAGCAAAAGAACTGTCACACATGAATTAATGATTGAGAACCAATGGATCTCCAGATGATGAGGCAAAGAAGAAGACCGTGAGAATTTGTCCATCCTCTTCTCAAAAGGTGTATCTGTCTCCTTCCATTTTGCAGTGTAAAAAAAATCTACATTAACTTCTTTGTCTTCTGTAAGGTCCATGACGGCATCTGGGTCAGTTCGAACATTTATCTCAATCACTCGGTCCTTGTTGTAAAAGATTTCAAAATGAGTATGCTTAAAAAGGTAATATTTGTGTTCACTCGGGTCTTTTCCTTCCTTGTCAACCCTTCCTATGAAACCCCAAACTGGCAAGTCGTCATAATACATCTGAAAGTAGTAGTCCTTCTTGACAGCAGATCGGAACTGTGCTACTTCTTCCTTTGTCAATCTTTTCTTGCAAACAAGTTCAGATTCTTTGTCACGTAAGAAGTCAAGTTTGTAGGGAGCACTAACCAGACGATCCCCATTTAATACCTCACCAAGGGCTTCTTTCTTCTCTTTTACATGAGCTGCAATGTAATTTGAATTAGCCAAAATTGTAAAGAGATAAATATCACCAGAAAACAGAAAAGCACTAATGCACAGATACGTACCTGGCAAGCAGAATGGAAGATCAAAATAACGGTAGGTCTCACTGAAGTAAGAATATAAAACCAGAAAAAAAATGACAAAAATCAGTACCAATTATTACAGGCAGCTCTGTGATGATACAGATACAAAGTATACAGTAAGGTAATAACATAATCAATTAACATTTATCAAGAAGATCCTGAAACTCTTACCCTATTTAATTATGAGATAATATGCACTAAAACATTCAAACTAGAGTGAATTAAAAAACACGCACACCCAGCATGCCCCTATGCACATTAAAAAGAAAATAATTCCTCACGCAGGTTGACTTTATTCTTCCTATTAAGTGCTGTTTAGTGTTTAAATTCTACATCAACGAATATATGAAATAAACTTAACGAATTTCTGAAATACTTCTTTCAAGTAGATCCTGCTACAGACGACCCAAAAGGCGGGCAATTTGGCACCACCAAACAATGTTTCAGAAATGAAGTGACTCACAATTGAGTTAGCCGTTTAGCTCCAGCAAACTTAGACTGAAACCAACTAAGTTCTCAACCATTAACTAGTTTATCATAAGATGAAGAAAATTCGATTCAGCTGAAGTCACACTTAATACTATTTCTTTATTCTCTTCAAAAGTAATTCAACATATTCTTAACCAAAACTAACAAGAGCGTAATGAGCGAGAAGATAACGAAATCGACTCAGATCCAAAACAAGTAACATCAAATCTAAGGAAATCAGAGAAACAAAACCCTAAGATGATGGATCAGGCGTTAGAGAGAAACTTGCCTGGGGTTGTGAAACGGGCCGACCTTGTTGGCGTAGAGAGGCACTTGATCTCCCTCCTTGTACCGGTGATCCGATGCGTCAGATCTCACGCCATTCCGTGCCAACAAGATCACTAGGGCGATGAGTATCATCACCAGCCTGCTCTTCATTTTCCCTCGTTTTTGCTTCGTTTCACTGCAGAAAACGGGGGTATTCCGAAGAGAGTAACGAAGAAAGCGAACAGAGCCAGAGATGTAAAAAGGGGGAGGATTTATTTAATTTAGTTTTTAATTAGTCGTTAATTTTATATATTTATTATTCAAACAAGTTTCTTGTTACTCATGTACTGTTTGTATGTAATACTTTTCCATTGGGACTAACCCATTGTCTATATTTAGCTATTTGTAATGGACAATGTTTAGAATCTTCACTATTTAATTTAATTTTTAAATCATTAAAAATAAATATAAATTTAAATTATTTTATAATTATAACTACATCTCAAAATTATTATTATTATATATATATATATTTTTATTCAGTTAGTTCTAAATTTAAATTACATTTCACCAATAACCACAAATTATCTGTTAATTTTTTAAGATTAGTCGTTTCGAACCTCTTTTTAGTTTCTTCCAAACTTAATCCTCGTCATTGATAAATCACCCAAATTCGGATTTACAAGCAATGACAATTGACTATAAATATTCGCTTTTGTTATAGGTCCTTTTAGTAAAATTAAGATTGAAGAATATTGAGCTTAAAATATTTGTATCATCTCTTTATAAGGAAGTATAAATATTGAAAAAGGAAAATAACGAAGTAAAAGTAAAATTAATAGAATATGAGAATATAAAAGATGAAAATTTGACATTAAAGGACAAAATCAAATATTTAAATAACATACTCTCTAGATTTGTTCAAAGATATAGACTTTCTAAGGCGAAAATTTTTTAAAAATTATTTTGTGAATTATACTAATTCAAGTTCTTATTTTGTAATTTGTAAATTTTTTTTATTAAAATATCATATTTTACATACATGTTCTATTAAAATAAATACTTATTTTGAGTTAAAAAATATGATTTTTTTTAAATTAATCACATATTTTAATGCTGACCATCATGGACCAAAAAAATTTGGTTAACAAAGACAAAAGATTGATTGTGATTTTAGGTTTTTCTCTACTAATTATGAAAATTAAATAGTATTGTCGATTGTTGTTTACTATCTATTGGAAAAAAATCAATTGTTTGGTGGAGAAGAAGCCACCAAAATGAGTAAGGATGAATCACTGTGTCACAACTAGTTAAATCGTAAATAAGATGGATTTGAAGAACTAGAAACTCAATGATTTTATGAATTTAGAAGTTCCATACAATTTGTTTAAATTAGTCTTGTTTTCTTCTTTTTGTAGATCGATTCACTTGAACTGACTCAATTTTTTCTCATTTTTTGTTTAATCGACTTTTCAAAATACAATATATCAAATACTATATCATTTAATATATATTTGTCCTATGTATTAGTCCAATTATGTAGTGACCTGGAACTTAAAAGGAAATAAATTATAAATTGAATGTAGAAGCGAAATAATAAAGTTAGGGTTCACATTTCTTACACGATAATTTAAAATACCCAAAAGGAATACGAGAATGACTATTTTAAAAGAATAAACGAAAAATTAAAGAAATAAATGGAAGATAAACAACTGGGCATCCTATTAGCAACCATCTTGTGCATTGGGATCTGGATATTGATCCTCTTGATATGAAATAGTTAATGAAAGAATGAGCTATACTAGCATAGTAAAAATGTCACACTACTCAACGATACAAAAATGAAAGTTGGTATAAATCATAAAAATAACTAATTGAGCTCTTAATTTAAGTAAATTCATTTATTATAACTAAAATCATTTATCGCATATTTAACATAGCAAGATTTTCAAAACTGACTCATAGAATCAATAACATAACCAATATCATAATCTCATATTCAATTTGGCAGAACAACAACTTTATCTTTTATCTGCCTACTAGTATCCATTGGAGTCCATAAGGATGTCCCTATTATACGTGAACCATTATTCAATATTATCAACTACCTGACCGTCCTCATACCCCGTCCGATATGAACATTAAAAGTATCACCCCTCAAATATCTCGTCCGGTATGAAGGTGAAATGGACGTCTCCATACCTCATCTAGTATAAGCACCAAAAATATTAATCCTCGATACCTCGTCCGGTATAAAGATGAAACGGGCCGTCCTCATACCTCATCCGGTATGAACACAAAAATATCAATCTTCGATACCCCGTCCGGTATGAAGCAATGTTCACGGTAGGTTTCTTATGTACCTGATCCGTCAACCATCTCCCAGATATCCATAAAGCTATCATTCATCCATTCAGTAAATCAAGCAATTTTTCATCTATATTTAATTTTTCAGTTTTTCAATTTAACTGTAAACCATACAAAACAAGCAATACATGCATCAAAGAAATACAATCGGATTATCATACCAATTCTAATGTATTATCATGCATTTGAAACTATAAAATATATCAATCAATTAAAATATGACAAACAGTAATAAATAACCGGTTTCACCTCCATTAGTAATCTTTAATTATCGATATTTCTAAATCACACAAAATACCATATTATTTGTAATCAAACTTCAATTCTATAACAGAAAAAAAGGTGAGAGATTCTTACTCGAATCGGTGGCCAAAATGCTAAACTTTTAACTGCATCTACTAGCAGTCCTCGAGTTTCCTGAATTTTTCTTTCGAGATTAAAAAGCGCTTCGAGTACCTAAAAATACTCCAAAAAATTTAAAATCGGTGTTAGAAATCTTTTCAAACTAATTTCGAAATTCCAGTACGGTGTCGTCGCCCACGGCGGCGGTTTGCCTCAGGCTAGCCGTGTTCGGCCAGTTTTGACCAATTTTATACTCATCCCTGGCAGAAAACACGTTAAGGGACCTTGGTTGGCTGAAAAAAGTCAAAAAATAAAAACTCACCGGTGGTAGAATTTTCTGGTGCGGCGGCTCCGCCGGCTCACTTTCGCGGTTGGGTGTTTTTCTTCGATCAACCTGTAGAAAATAGAACAGTGAATATAATGGTGAAAAAATTGTACGAAACGAGAATTGGGAAGGAGCTCATCGGAGGCAATTTTTTGTTTTTTCTGCAGCAGCATCGTTGGGCTTTACCTGCAATTTTTGCCTCATCCGCTGGTCTTTTGGCTATAATTTTGCCATGGGGGTGTTCAAAATCAAAATTTGAGCAACTGGGAGAATTTTTACCTTTTTTGGCAGTCGGAGATGGCTCCGGCACGGCAACGGGCGACGGTCGACTCCATTCCTAGCGACTGGTTCTTCTTCTCCGGCGGGGGGGCTGGCGACTAGGGTTAGGGTTTGGTGTGGAGTGGGGTATTTATATCCATCTTTTTTTAATCTAGGCTGTCTATCGCATTTGATGTTAATCGTCCGATCACATTTAATAATGGAATGAATCTGGACCGTTCATCGCTATTTGATCTGGACCTTTTGATCGTGTTTAAGAGAAAATAAATATGAACCGTTCATCATATTGATTGCGACTGTCCGATCGTGCTTAAGGAGGGAACGAATCTAAATTGTCCATGCGCGGGAATAAATTTAGATCGTCCGATTACGGGCACGCGGATTGCTAGCGTGGCCTCCTGCATGGCGCCGCGTTAGCATGCCTTGCCACGCAGCACGCTCCAGTTCATCGGGGCTGCTGACTTAGTAGTCCTACGTAGTACATTTTTTCTAAATTACATTTTGACCTCTAATTTCTGATTTTTGTTTTAAAAATACCCCTAAAACCCAAAAATTCACCATTTTTTCCCAAAATTATTTTCAATTTCATCATCAACCTATTTTTTCTTAATTTTTACATTAAATAAAAATTTAAAAATTATATTTTATACATTAATTTAAAATTTTAAAATTAATTCCGAATATTACAACTCTCCTGCACTTAAAAGAAATTTGGTCCATCAAATTTGTCTCTTTCTCATTTAATCAAACAATTGGGGATATTGGGTTCTGAAGTCTTATTTTAGCTCCCATGTGGCCTCTCCCTATGTATGATTTTGCCATAGGACCTTAACGAAGAAAATTTCTCGGTTGCAGAGTATTCTACTCTTTCGGTCCACAATACCTACCAGTATCTCCTCGTAGGATAGATCCTTCTAGAGTGAAAGGAGCTCATGGGCCAAGATGTGAGAGGGGTCTGGGTTGTACTTGTGTAGCATGGATATATGGAACGCATTATGGACCCTGAATAGTTATGGAAACAATGCCAGTCTGTAAGCGGCTGTGCCAATTCTGTCTAAAATTTGAAATGACTCAATAAACTGGGGATTTAGTTTGTTTCTCTTG